TACGGGTACGTTGTGGTAATTAAACTACATCTGGGATATCTTCATTCGCAATGGACGAGGACGTGTACTGCACGAGAAAAAAAAGAAGGAACGGGATATCTTATTAATTAATTTGTACAGCTGCGGTCGCAGCTTCTCTCTCGGAATGCACGCGGTGCGGTTAGCCGACAGATACATATTATGCACATGTGAAAACTCTTTCTTTAATTATATTATGTGCCCCAAAGGTTTGTTCATTATGCACCTTTGTATACCGTTGTTACGCGCATTGTTGCGGGCGCTTCTTCTTCGCCTTTTAAGAAACGATGCTCTGAGACTGATACATCGTTCGGTACACTGGTAACTTTGTAATGTTAAATTTAGTTCAATGGGTAGTGAGTCGGCCCACTGTTCCTACTTAATGCGTCGTTAATTTGATTAAACAATGGAGTTAAAATAAACCATAAAATGGGTTGAATAATATATGTGGCTGGTTTTTAACTACACAATTTGTGTCAAAATAATATTAAGTTTTACCGCATGTGATAGTTAACCCCCACGGAAAAAAATTTTGTTTAATGTAAGTAAAAATATATGTGACATATTTCATGTATTTGGTATATAGAAATTCTATTTAAGAAATCATATATATATATAATATTATATATGTCAAAATTATAAGAAAAATATATGTAAAATACATGAACATATATAAATTACATATTTATAATATGGATGTAAAACATTTGCTTACATATTTATATTATATTATGAATAATACATGAAAAATGCCAATTTCTATATATTAGTAGTACACTTTTTTATATTGCATATACGAATTATACAAAACGAATGTACCATTTCTATTTTTCTTTATACATAATGAGGTGACCTTTATATAAAAAGGTGGTCGAATTGGCTGCGACGCCCGCCTAGCGAGAGGGAGGTCCAGGTTCAAACCCTGGCTGAGGTGATGTTTTCTCGCAATAAATTTAGAATGCAATATTTAGACGCTAACACCCTGTCACGGCTCTTGGTCCTTTATTCCTTCAAATTTGTGTTCATCATATTTGAGCCGTACGAATTTCATTAATTTGAGAAATATGTATATATTTTCCCACGAGGGAAAAATAACAAAATACCGAGCAGGAGCAGTGGCGACTATTCATCGAGTTAAATTTAACTCAAATTTAACAATGCGCCGTTTCGCAAAGTAGTTGGTGTGAAATTAAACGAGTCAACGTTTACATCGATCGCAATTATACAATTACGATGGTGGCTGTTGCCGAAGGAAAATTTAATATCTTAATTACGGGGAGGGCGTTCGAATGCCGACAAAGGTGGAATATAAAATTTTAGCAGAGCTGTCGCAACATTTTTCGCAGCCGACAATACGGGGGCTATTCTCGGCGCAATTAATGTCGTTGCCGTACGTGACGCAAGTGTGAATTCAAAACGATAGCATTGGTCGGACGTCCAATCGATATCGCTTTTTGACGCCGCCAGACGTACACTAATCCAGCGATAATGCGGCGCTATGAACCTGTACAATCCGCGTCGCGTTTATCTCAATAAATATAGCACCTATCGCGCTGTAGGCTGTCGCGAGCAGACTGCGCGCCCATAGATAGTTATTTCTCTCCTCTAGATATCGCGCGGAATGGCGTACACTTACACGTCGTAGTGAATTGGTTGCTTGATAAATGTTTTACGTCACGGCCCGAAATGGCAGTTTTATACGAGGCGCTATACAGTATCGACTATTGTACCGTTATAAACGCTATCTCGTGCGATCTATCATTTTTTCCTCCCGCAAGAAAATAACCGCGGATACGTCTGCGCGATACGTACGCGCATTTAATTTTAGTACTGCTTATTGCGACAAATATTATCACATGCCGCCTAGAGAGTATAATAGGGAAGTCCAGGTTCAAACCCTGGCTGAGCTAATATTTTTCGCAATAAATTTTCCGTGTTAAAAACACGTTGACAGTTATGGTCAATTGAAAGTTTAATTATTGTTAGTCATGTACTGGCGTCAAATAATTCTTGATGCTATTTAATTTTAGATTCGATATGGTATATCGTCGCGATATTCTCTCTCCCTCTCCCTCCCCCCACCTCTCTCTCTCTCTCTCTCGGAGTTAATAATTCAGTCCTCCTCGGATTACCCGAGACAACACACTGGGCGTTACAGGGGAAACGGGAAGCGCCTTTCGCGTAATGCGTTATCACGTGTCCGCTCTTCCATTCAGCCGTCAATCGCCGCGAGAGTCATCGCGGAGTGCATCTCCGCCGGGGTGTATTGTGCCGAGCGAAAAGTAGCGTATAGTGACGGGAACCCGATCGAGGGCGAGGGAAGCGGCGCGTGGAGGCCGCGGGAGGGCGAAAACATGGGATTTTCGTCGCATGCATAATTTGTCGGGGCCCCCGCGATTGCGTCTTACAAGGGCGCCAGCCGCCGTGCTCGGGCGTGTTACCCGCGTGTACCGTGTACAATGGAGCACGTTACCACGCGTTGCTCGCGACGTATAGACGCCGAGGCTCTAATACAATTGCTCCCGCAGCAAGTTTTCCCCGGTGCGCGAGGTGTACGGGCTATACGCTTTGGTCCCGCGCGCGTCACGATGCTCGTACCGGATTCGTGCCATCGTAGCTACCAGCGGTGTACGGTTCACGGTCTACCGGCGCGCGGCGCGCCTTATTAATAGTTACACTTGGAAACTGCAACGCCGTTGGTCCCGTACACAGCGAAAGATTAACAATATGTGCTCCGTTCGAAGTTGCGCCCCGTTCGGGTGGAAGAGGCCCTCGACCGCGGCTGTTTGTCATGCGGGGCGAGGGCTATGCTTGGGAAGCAAAACACCGCCGCGCCCGTTGCAAACTGACGTTTCGGTTCATTAACACGTCGGAATATTTTCACGCCCGTGGTGTATTTGCCTCGGCATTATCCGTCTATTTCCGACACGCAGCTTTGCCGATTATTCCGAGAGATTTCCAGGTCGTCAGGCTCTTCCGCCTCTATTTCGCTCTATTTCTGCCTCTTTTAAGGGAACGCTTAAGACACCGCTCTAATTAAATTATGTAGTTAAATAGCGAAATGTATCCCGTACGCGGTTTTCCACCGAGGGAGCGCTCGTGCGAGGGAAGAGTAAAAGATATTACGCGTTGCAAATAAAGTACTCGCGAGCGAACTTCATGCACGGTCGGACGAATGAAAGGGGAGAAAAGCGGTTTTAGTGAAACATGGCTTATTACGTACGGTGGATGTTTTATAATAGCTCGTTGAAGCGCCATTTTTTAGCACTTGGGAAACACAGCTGTCGGTGCTTATGCGGAATAATATCAGTTGTCCTTTAACAAATCGCGCTGTCGCTTTATTATGTCTTCACCGCTACTTCTTCTTCACGTTTCATTTTGAAATTATAAATCGCGTCGCAACGTATGCCATTTATCTCCTCGTTTCCTTATAAAATAACAAGAAATATCGCAAGAAAGTAACCGTTTTGTTGGTGGACGTGGATTTATTCGTTCGATTCATTGCAAAATCACGTTTACAGTAGAATGTTTTATAAGATTGATAAGCTGCGGGATATAATCAGTGCGAGAAGCGTACAACAGATGAATAATGACGCGAAAAGGGATGATTAATGTATCTTCGGTTAAACGTGAACATCATAATAAATAATTATAAAAATGATCTCCTCTTTCATATTAACACGTGCTTTGGTTTAGTTTCCGTTAATTATGTTCGTTACCGCGTTGTCTTCCGTTCTTTTCCAAAAGAAAAATTTCGTCGTGCATGTCTTTGTTAATTATGCGAGCTACTAGCTTATATACTTTCCGCGCGCGGGCGCGTGTGCGAGAGAGAGAGAAAGGGGGGGGGGGAAGGGAAAAGAAAGTTTCGTCGTTGCGAAGGTCTGGTTCTAGTTTGAATATTATTTTCATAGACTGGCGCGAGAGTAAACTTTATACTGGCACAAAAATGTACCGGACTTCGTTGATGAGATCGCGAAATACGATTATGAAATAAGCGGAAACTCTGGACGATCGCGACATACATTTACGACCGTTATGTACCGAGTAAATTAACGACACGCGACGGTTAGACGAAACCCGTGGAATTAATTAGCGCTCATAATTGCTCAGCGCGCCTTTGCATCTCTCGACGTATCACACTGGCCTTTCTTGTCGCATTTCTTCTCGTTGTATATTCTCATTAAATTTACTCAGTAGCGATCTTATTTCAAACTGCTACTTTCATTCCCTCTCGAGGGACGTCGACGCCGTTACAGGCAATTCCGATACGGTTATACTTAATTAATCTCTCGAGATCTTTGCAGCTTCGAGTATTTTTTCTGCATCCTTTGTAGTTCTATTCAAAATTATCGAGTACTTTGCGTGCTTTTTTACGCTATTTTAATCAAAGTACGTTACTCCGTAGGAAAAAAAAACATCGTATTCTATTTGCTTTATTTTGTGCACGCGAAGAAAACGTGGAATCTCTGACGAAAATCAAGAAACATTAATATATATTTTTGTAATTTAAAAGCTATCGTATATATACGTGCAAGAGTACGCGGACAAATTAGCAGTAGACTGAAAAATGTTTACCTATAGACGTCTGTAAATGACGAGTGATAAATGATAAATCTCGGTGATCTTAAGATTCTCTTATATTCCTTAGTAAGTATATATTATTAGGGCTCTGTTGATAAACATTTAAAGTCAACGGCACACGATACTATTTTTCCTACTGGATTGCTTACGAGAGCCAATTAGTATTCAGCCTCAAGTCATCCGATCTAAAACTCTGCATCCTTATTGGCTCTCGTAAACAATCCAGCAGGAAAAATAGTATCGTGTGCCGTTGGCTTAAGTTAATAAGCGTAGAAGGGCAATAAGAGCCAGATGCTAGGTGTTGGCTGCGGATGTAAGATTAGATTTAATGTTTAACACAGCTGAACAAGTCAAACGTTTCGATCAACCAATGTGATCCTTTTCAATGACATCTAACATATAACAATGTGGATTATTTGTATCGCAACATTGATAGTCAAAGATAAATTTCTTACATTCACTTACCTGCCACGTGGGACCACGCGATACCAAGTCGTCTGTGATACTATGCAGACGCGCAGCCATAAAACGGCCTTGCATTGAGGCATGTATTATTAGAAGGCACGATGTATCTCCTCGCAGCTTTAGCATCTCCTTCGACGTATCAGATCGGAACTGATTGACGCTCAGGGATACACCCGGGTTAATTACGAAATCAATGCGAACCACAGACGCGGTTCTAAGCTGTCCGGTCTAAGCTGCCATTATAATTAATTAATTAGTCGTGTGAGATGACTTAACGGATCGCCGGAGATACACTAGGAAATTCCATTTGGCTAGAATGGCGGTTGAATCATATACGAGATGTTTCACGCGCAACCTACGGCGCAAAGCAAATAAATAATCGTGCTATGATAAAATCGACCCATATAAAGTCACAGATAATTATTATAAAATCCGTAGTGCGGATTAAGCCTTCTAATTGTTTGTTATCACCGTTGTTACGCTCCTTTTGAGAATTTGCATTCCGCATGGGTTGATTGTCCCGTGGAAATCAAGAAACTAAAATAAAAATGAAGTATCATTAATCGGCTGGTTAACAAAAATTGTGGAAGTTACACGAACAATTAGAGTAATTAACTTACAGCTTTGTGGGGTATTTTTATTAACCGAAAGCCTAGGCTATAATAAAGAATGCTATGTGTATACATATCCTCTATCTATATACAATAAACCGATTTTTTTTGCACGATATTTGATACACAGTTAACATTTGGCAACTTGGAATCGATTATTTCTTCTTCTTTTTCTTGGCAGGAATCACACTTAGTCTTTCACAATTCAAGAGTTCGAATGTGTTCGTTCGAATGTCACGAGATGTGTCCGCCTCGTAACGTGATATTATCAAAAACTCGAAGAGGCTAGATCACCGTTCGCAAAATCTTTCTATCGCGATGTCTTAAGGACGACGGACGCCGATGTCTTTCGTCGTGGATCGCGTTTCCTCTTAATTACGTTAGTGCTGATCATTAGAAACTATCGATACGAATAAGTGTAATATTGCTTGCGCAGCACTATAAAGACGAATTTCATGGATACACACCTGCATGGACACCGTGCATGCCGCGATGTTTCACGTATTTACAAAAAAGTGTCGCGCCAAGTGCATGAGGAGTCTCGGAATTATGAGGGCAATTTTTAACGGCGTAAAAAATCAGTCTTCGTACGAGAGATTCGAAGTTTCGAGAGTGAGCGAGGGTCGATACGTCGTTGCTCGGTTGCTCGTTTCGTAAAGCAGCGGAAATAAATCGCCGACAAACAGCCGGCGGTTTTCTTCCCCCGCGGTGTACATCGTAAAAAAGACGAAGAAAAAAAAAAACTCGTAAAGATTAATCCACACCGGTAAAATCTCCTGTCAAAATGCAAATTTTTTCGCGTACGTTTGATTTTCTCGCAGGCAGGTATTTCCTTGGGGCTCGCACGTTCCCCCAGTCTTTTGGAGTCTTGAATGCTGTGACGTATACCTCAGTATACTGACATTTGCCATTGCTTTCCTGCTGATTATGAAATTAAGTCACTCGAGGACGTTTATTTTTCTTCTCTTGGCGCGTTTACACCAGCGATCGGGGTAGAGAAGACTTGTGTTGTACGTAGAGACACGTATTTTTGGCACTTTGCTACGTCGAATTTCTTTCCTCCGTACACAGGATGGGCTTAATCGCGAAAATATTGGCGTCGCGATCACGTTCGACGATATATATGTGTATATAGGCAGCACAAAAAGTCTTCTACGTCAAAATGCTGTTGTTGTTGATTAAAAAACTTTACCGATTGCCGTGCTGTTTTGATTATTTGTTACGTAAATCGAATAGTGTTTGTCTTGTGGATTACGTTCGCGGAGTAAAACAAATTATGTCGGCTCCGGACAACTGGAATAAAATCACGATCGTCACCATCGTTCCATGTGACCGACATAATCGAATGGTTTCGGTTATTTGAAACGCGCGTTAAAAGTTCGAAGACCCGATACCACACGCGGCCCTCCCGTTTTTCGTCACTTGATCCGACGACACCGGAAGCGTCAGCGACACGACGCCTTCTCGTCGTTGTCCCCTCGTGCCGCGCGATTATTAGCTGTAGATATTGGTGCAGGTCGACACGGTTTTCATCTCGATGTCGTGCTGAGCGGTCTCTTTACGAGACTCCTTCGCCTTCTGCTACGAGCCGAGGGGCGGGGGCCCGATGTTACTGATGAAACTCGGACAGGAGTTCTCCGCCCTGTCGCCACTCTGCAGCGAGAAATGTCTGTAGGACATGTACTCCGGCGGGTTCGAGGACAACGGCTGATCTCGCTTGATCGTTGCCCGCTGCTTCTTCATTTTCATGTAACCCAGAACGGAGATCAGCACCACGAAGACCACGAAGCCCATGCAGCTACCCACGATCAGGCCCAGCCGTCTCGTGAGGATGTTCGCCAAACTGCCCCTGTCGCTCACATTGCCGTCGCCCGCTATCGAGTCGGGCGTGTCCAAAGTTCTGACCTCGGTACACCGGCTCGTAGGCGAGTTCACCATCACGGGCAACGAGGAACCCTCGATCACGTCATCGTGCGAGGCGTTCCATTGCCAGGAGCCGATGTCCTCCGGGATCGGCGTGCCCCAGCTGCCCAAGCCAAGTACGCAGATCAGGTAGCGCGTGTCAGATGCCAACTTCGTCAATCTCACCGAACGTGCCTTTGGATCTAGCAGCTTACCTCGGACCTGAAACCCCCGGCGGAAACGTTTCGCCATCAACACGCGCGGCCCCTCTTACTTTTGCGCCGAATATAGATAAGAAATGATTGTTCGCGGAAATAACGCGGCACATTTTAGTCTGTATAATAAACCACGTGCATCAAACGTTAGCATATTATTTTTAACATCGTGCCATATTCTATAAAGAACTATAATGTAAATGGAACGTTATTAAGTATTGGATAACTGGATAAAGTTGCAAATTCTGCAAATAGCTACATGAATCAATAATTTTACCAAAGTTGCATTACACGTTTGAAATAATATTTTTGAAACAATAGTAATATAATAAAAGCAATTTTATCTGAAAACGTGCAGCTTAATAATGAAATGTTTTACTTATAAATTGCTAGACAGCGAACAGTTCTTTTTAATTTGACATTTCCATTCTGTTTACTTTATTCAACGTAGCGTAAGGTTACGATTTTCCTCGCACAATAACAAAAACTCTTACCTCGTCGACGTTGTCCAAGGCGTGATACGCCACTTGGTATCCGTGGAGGCCGGAATGATTCCTGCTCTGCCACGATACCAGAACGGAGAAGGGCTGAATGTCTTGAATCGCGAGTTTCAGGACCAGCGGAGCGGAACAGAAGGCGTGGGGGTCAAGATCGAGGAAGACGAGACCTCGGAGCTCGGGTGGCTGCTCGCATCTTAACAAACCGCCCTCGACGTCACCGACTCCGACACCATTTCTTCCGCGGCTACGACCACCACCAACTCCGCTCACCAATTTCTGGTGGTCTCTCAACCATTCCCACAACTCTTGCGATTCGCAGCCACAGTGCAACGGGTTTTCTGCCAACGAGACCAGAACAAGATTTGCTATTTTTCGCGACTTAAAATACATATTCGATATTTCGAAGGACATCGATGGCGAGTCGATACTGAAGCAGCTTATTAATTAACACATTGTTAACCGGACGTTTCGTGCAGAAACTGTAACTGCCTGTGGCTGGCTATTTCTCGTACGAGCAAAGTCAATAGAAACTCAGTTACATGTAAAATCAAGCTACGACAAAAAGTGGAAACTAAACACACTCGCGAATCCTATAATAAAAACTTTATCAATTTTAAGCAAGAGATTAAGAAAAGTTTAACATGAAATTAAGTTTTAATAATTTAAATTTATCCAGTAAGCGCGAGAACATATTTGTAAGTTATATAAGTTTGAGATTTTTACAAGTATTTTCTGTATGCTGCTATTACTTTTAACTATAACGAGACTCTGTTCATTCTCCCTAGTTATTCACTGGAAATTTAATTCAAATACATAATTAAAAACTTATATATAATAACTGTAAGTATTATAAATTATAACAAATATAAATCCCATTTATTCTTCCGTGCACTGTAATTCACTAAAATTAATTACAAACCTCATACATTAACGATAATTAAATTTTATGATTCCAGTTCAATACTTTCCAATTAGCATAAAACGTATCAGCGTGATTCATGAATAAACCGATTAACGAGATGATATTTTACTGCCGTATGGTAATGTCTCGAGATTTTTTGTACATTTTGTAAAAGCAGGCATGTACATAACCGGCGTATATATTTGAAACAAGTTCCCGAGAAACATTAAGGCGGTAAGAGTAATCCAAGTCGGCGAATACCGAGGGAAATGAGTTTATGAGAAGTTGTTTGATTGTTTCAGTGTTGAATATTGATTCGAGATAAGGCGATACGTGACCGGCGATACGATTGATTTTCAAGTAGTAGTAACTTAATTCGGATCGATAGCCCCGCCGTATATATGTACGAAAGGAAACTTTCGTTGATTTTCTTTCGCTCGCGGCCTATGCCGTTGCTCTCGAGAAAGAACGAGCGCGTGCGTGCGAGCGCGAAATTAATTACAAACACTAGGCGTGTTTAAGTAGCTCACCTTCAGCCCGCAGGCTTCTTATTTGCGTTTCGAGTGGCCGGAAAGCATTCAGCGGCAGATTCTCCAAGTAATTTCTACTCAAGTCAAGTAGACGTAACTTCTTCAAGGGTCTAAATGCCTCGCTGGAGATGGCGTTTATCCAGTTACCATAAAGATGCAGCTCCACCAGGCTAATTAAATTCTTGAACGTCACTTTGCCAACAATGCCGATCTGATTGTAAGACAGGTCCAGTATTTGAAGAGACTTGAGATCCTCCGGGAACTCTTCCAGCTCTTTCAGACGGTTGTGCGTTAAATTGAGTATCCGTAAATGCTCCATACCCTGGAGTCTCTCCTTCGGCAAGATCTCCAGGCTGTTCATGCCGAGGTGAAGAGTGAGCAAATTCGGGAGGCTGCGAAACGCGCCCGGCGACACTCGCAGGATGCAATTCTGACCCAGATAGAGATGCAACAGCGCCGGGAAGGCCTCGAAATCTTGCGAGGTTACTATACTCAGATTGGTGCCGGATATATGTACCTCCTGGAGAATAGGATACATCGCCTCCGATGGCAGATCGTGGATTCTGTTTAATGGATTTCGCGTGAGATTCAGCCAGGCCAGACCGGGAAGATTCTGACCCGAGAGAGCGACCGCGGGTATCTGTCGGAATTTATTTTCCGACAAGTCGACTCTTCGTAACAAGGACGAGTGCGCGAAAAAGTTGGCCGGTAGAGCGTTCAAGTTGTTATGGCTGAGATCCACGGATATCAAGCGCGAGAGATTAGCCATCGCGAATCCGGACATCGTTTCGATCTTATTGTGGCTCAGATCCAACTCTCGCAGATGCCTCAAGCTGGCGAAACTGGCCACGTCGACGTTCAGAATCTCGTTGGTCGATAGCGTGAGGATCTCGAGATTAAGGGCGCTCGCGAGCGCCGAGTACGGGATATCCTGGAATCGATTGTGATCCAAGTGTATCTCCCGCAGTGACAGTAACCTGTCGAAGATACCCGGCGGGAGAGTACGCAGATGATTATGGTTCAAGTGTAGACGCGCCAGATTCCGATTCAGCACGAAGATGTTCTCCGGCAATTGACTTATTTCCGAGCCGTCCAGGAACAGGTCCTGCAGAGACGGCAGCCCGTTAAAACAGTGCTCCGTGATCTGGCTGAAGTTGTTGCCGGACGCCGCGAGTATCCGAAGACCGGGTACGTGCAGACGTAGCAGCGCCGTCGCCGTGAGGAGATTGTCATCCAAGTTGAGATCGAAGAGGTTGTTGAGCCCGCGAAAGGCACCGTTTTCTATCGTGGATATCGAGCAGTTCTTTAAGTTGAGCGTTTTAATCGGCAGATCTTCTTGAAAAACCGCGTCTTGCAAGACGGTTAGATAATTATTCGCCAGATCCAGCACCTTCAGTTTCTTAAGCGCCGTCAATGCGTAAGGATCGAGCCTCCTCAAGCCGTTGTCCTGCAGGTACAGTTCCTCGAGCTCGTGCAGCTCCGAGAACGTCTTCGCCGTCACGTGACTCAGTTTATTCATGCTGAGCTCGAGAAACTTTAGCGCCTGCATCGGCTGAAAAGCGGCGTCCTCGATCCTGGATATGGAATTGTTGGTCAGATAAAGGCGCTCGACCAAAAGGAGATCCCTGAAGAGAGGAGCTTGCAGGTGTGTCAGCTTGTTGTGACCCAGCCACATAATTCTGACGGACGCTTGGCCGCGCAGAGAGTCATTGTGTAGAACGGCCAAGCCGTTGCTGTCCAGCTGAATAGACACCAAAGAGCTTCCGCCGGAAGACGATTCTGAGGCGGACAGCTGAAAGACGTCGCCGAGCATGGTCAACTGATTGCCTTGCAGATTAACGTGCTGGAGACTATTCAGCGTTCTCAGCGCGCCCGTCTCCATCGAGGTAATGGCGTTGTTTTGCAGATGCAGCTCGAGGAGCGCCGGCAGCGGCGTGAAAACGCCACGCTTCACCTCCGTTATACGGTTATCCTGCAGCCGCAGCTCGCGCAATTGATGCAGTTTAAGGAATGTGCCCGGCTGTAACTCGCGGATCTTGTTACCGTCCAGGGAGAGCGACGAAAGGTTCTCGCAGTGCTCCAGGAATTCCCGCGGCACCTTCTCGATGTAGTTGTTACTCAGATGCAATTGCGTCAGCTGCGTGAGACTCGTGAGACCCTTGACGTCGATTCTACGGATGGCATTCTGCTGGAGATACACCACCGCGAGGCTGACGCTGCCGGCGAACGCATCTCCCGGGATCTCCAGGATATTGTTTTCCGCCAGATAAAGTTCCCGCAGTTCGGGCAGCCGCGCGAATACGCCGCCGATGTAGTGAATATGGTTATGACTGAGCTCGATCGTGCGCAGCCGTTCGTTCCCCTTGAAAGTCGCCACGTCGAGGAAGACTATTTTGTTGTGGCTCAAATCGATCGACTCTAGATCCTTCAACGACGAGAAGGCGTCCTTGTGAATGCTCTCGATGGAGTTGTAGTAGAGGGACAGAGTGTGAAGGATGGGACAGGGTCTGAAGCAGTCCTCGGCCAGTTTCTCGAAATTGTTACTGCTCAGATCGAGGATCAGCAAGGAGCTGAGGAGGCTGTAACCGTCGTCGGGCAGCTCCGATATCTCGTTCCACGCCAGCCTGAGCGAAGCTAAGCTCTCGAGTCTCCTCAAGGGAGCCATGGGAAACAGCTTCAACTTGTTTTCCGCCAGATCCAGATCGCTCAGGCTGTCCTCGAGGCCCGCGAACGCGTATTCCGAAATTTTCGATATTTGATTCCCTTTCAGGGTCAGCTTCATTAGCTTCAAACCGTAAAAGCAATAGGATGAGAGGTCCTGTATCAAGTTCGTTTCAAGGTCCAAGGCAGCGAGCTTTCGTAGAACGGCCAGTGATTTCTGAGGCACATGGGGCAAACGGCCGGAAACCAGTGCCAAGGATTCCAGGCTATCTTTCAAATTCGTGAAGGCGCCCTCGCTTACTTCCCGCAAAGATGAATGCGATATTTGAAGATGTCGGATTTGCGAGCCGGGAGGAAAAGCACCCTCTTTCAGTTCTTCGATGCCTTTGTCGAGCTCGTAAACACTCAACGACTGTACCATCGTGCCCGCGCCTGAAAACGATCGTAAAGGGCACGGCCATTAATTTCATTGAATCGCGAGATAACATAAACTTTGAATTTGGCAGCATTGGCTGATTGCACGTTTCATTAGTTTTATGGGGCGCATTAAAGAAAATGGGGTCTTCCCCAACCGCGTCAACTTCAGCCTTACGTCCAAACTACATGGAAATGTGAAAAAAGTGCACACGTCTTAGTAGTTTAGTATTAAATGAGGTGTTACGAATAAGTTTAACAGGGCACTCAATCGATAGAGCTGATGCTTTCAGGAATGCCGTTAAACACACTTGACGGCGTTTTAACATTCTAAGGAAAAATTACTACAGTTATTATATGATTACTGTACATTACTGTTAATATTAATGTATACGTTTAATAAAAATTTGGAATCTGATATATAATCTGTAAATTCTTTCACAGAGACAACTTATTTCAGGACTTCTTCAACAATAATTTCTTAAACATTAGTTCCTCATAGTATTAGAAAAACCTGCAGTTAAGTTACATTTTGTTCCTCCACCGTATCTTTAATAATTCTTCATTCTTTTCTCTTAAGCATTTAGCTTACCGCTCGTACTTAGCACGCCTTGCAGCGTGGTTCTTAGAGTCTCTTCCGTAGCGCCAGCGCATTCCAGAAAGAGACCGTCTTCAAAGTTATAGCACGGACAGCCCGTTATTATTTCCGGTGGCGGACATTCGGCTATCTGAGCAACAGCTTTAAATGTAATAAAATTCTGAATTAACAGAATCTGAAAGACCATCCTCGGTATCCGCCGCCGATCTACCGCGTACGGGTGATCTACCCGTCGTTGCGGATCTCGCGTCATCGTATCGTCACATCCGTAATTCCTTTTTTCGCCTGACAGGCCGCAACAAGCTTTCTGAAACATAAAAGTCACGAAAGAAATTAAAATCGAATATCACGTCATATAATTCGAGCGACGCGCGACGAGTCACTTGAATTCGCGTGGCAAAGACAATTCAGCAATGTCTTAGCTTTCTTTTTGTTTATTTCAGATATTATAAAGCCAACGCCTTTTGAACTAAACGGAATTTCGACGTTTTAATGAATTGCGACTATTCCATTTGTATATATTCGTGCTAAATAATAATTGAAAATGTTATTATCCTTGTAAAAATTTTCTTAACAAATATTTACAGCTGCCTCCGCCGTGAGAGATTCTTGTCTGAATAAATCCTCGGATAAAGTTAAACTTCGCCTGCCAGGCACTATGCAGCGCGTGTTGGAGCATGTTTACGAAAAAGTACGGCCAAGCTCTCAGAATAGTGCGAATAGCTTCCTTGAATAACAAAGAGTGCACGTCTTGCTAAGACGGAGGTGCATACGAATATACGAGGACATAAAAATTATTTGACTCCTATGAGAAAAAATTGTGTTATTTTTAGTCCCGTAAGACAGGCGCTTTTTTTCAATAATGAAGAAAACTTCTTTTGGTTAAAATAATTTTTAAATAACATAGCTCTGCATTTGTAAAAATGTAGGTACCTACATCAAATATATTGATTACGAACAGGGTACGGAAGTAACGCGTTATATTTTTTTATACTTTTTATATTTCGGATCTAGTTATAAAATACAACATACACTATATTTTCTTACATTTAATCTTCAGGCATTGATTGATATTCATAATCTATTATTATCATCATGGGTTGTTATATTTATAAGATAAGATTAAAAATTTTAATGAAAAACTGGGAGCACGATAAAAAAACTTTAGCTATATTTATACTTTTCATAGAAATCAAAACTTTTATTTACATTTTGAGAGTTTTATAATTTATCTCCTTAAATTTTTCATGGTTTTCCAACTTTAAAATAAAAACTTGTTTCATTAATATCTTTGTTAATAAAATAACTAGTACAAAAGTGGGTGTTTTAGTTTATGATTTTTTTATTTATTCTGATCTCGGTTTAGAATTAAAAAAGTAAGGAATAGTTATTTTTTAAGTAACGATAACGATAACGAGTTACTTTTGAAAATTAGCAACTATAACGGTAACTAGTTACTTTTAAAATGTAACTTTTCCGTCCCCGATTATAAATAATTTATAGCTGATTATATTTACTATTGTTTAAAATATTGGCTGATCTCTTTGATAAACTTCATTGCGATATCAAATTAAATTAATTGGTCTCGTCGATTCAACTATACAGAGATTGCTTTATAATCCATGATGTGAACATAATTCATGACTCATCTTTATGAAAGGTTTCATTAATAATCCGAAAATTTCATCTGCGACGAGTTGCTTTTTCTGTTATCGGCCATTTATTTTTGCATCATTGTATCCCAATGGTATCCTGTTACGGGCGATTAGATCGGAAATCGAAATCGGGACCTTTCTCTTGCCAAACGATTGCTTTTGCCATTAAGTTAACCAGATTCCACGCTGATGTTTTCACTTATTTACAATATGTACATATATATCATCCGCAATATATGTACATATATGCGTCACGGTGATTCGTACAATTTATAGAAGGAATATGTTGCCGACGACTGGCAGGAAAAAGTATATAGAAACAAACCATAATGATATTTTATATTAAATAAATGTTGCTCTTTATCCTAATATAATGTATTTATAATGTGTAATAAATGTTTTTTCAAATAAAGCCATATGTGTGTATACGTTGCTTTTTGCATAAATTGATTCCTTAACTTATTATGTGTACGAACGTATAGACAAGTTTATCGAAAAATTAATAATTTATGAAGTATTTCATATTTTATTTAGACTTTACTTCGCGCAAAAACTATTGTACATAATGTTAGCAACTTTTTCGACCACATTCAAAGTTTTACGTAGTAGAAAAAGTTCGATACACAGAACTGCTGTTACTGAATATAACATGACACGAAGTCGCATGCACAAAGACAACGTTCTTAATTCGATAGTATCTATCAAGGGAATACTATTCAAATAGGCGGCGACGTTGTCGACGATGCTAATGAGTTTCTGTATGGATGACGTTCGAGTAGGGACCCTGTAATCAGAGACTGGCCATAAGAGTACGTCAAATTCTTGCGAGTGAGAGAGGAACATAGGCTCTCACTCTTCTACGATGGACAGCCTATGTTTCTCTCTCACTCGCGGGAATTTGACGAACTCTTATGGCCAGTCTCTGATTACAGGGTCTCTAGGCTCGAGTATATTGAAAATACACGCGCGAGAGTAACTGTCCATAAATTTATTATCTACGGAGTTGCACGTTTCCCGTGTAACACTAAATAGAAACTGTATTATATGACGTTATCTGAGCATGATAAATACGTTTCTAAAAGATGGCAGGTCCTCTATCATATTTTGTAATCGGAAATACATCAAAATTACACTGCCGCGCTGATTGTAGAGGTACAATAAGTAACCTCTCCTTATAATGAAACGGACTTCAAAGGTGATATATGTTATGCAGGAAGGACGAACGCCCATAAAGCTCTTTACGCGTAATCGAGCGGCGGGCGGCGACCGATCCAGAAATCTGTATCACAAAGACGGCGTCTAGACCGAATCGATTTTTCGCGAGCGCCAAGTCGCGCGATATCGCGCCATTCACGCTCAACTGAATCCACGAATGCCTCTTCCTTCTGACCCGGCTGGAGGATCGAAAAGCCTCAATAGGGGCACACCAATCTCGTCTACATTCACATCTGCGCTTCCGCGAAGCGTCGACGAACACCACCTTTACGATCGAGCGGTAAAACACACAGCAAGAGACGTTTCACGAGACGTTCGTGCCAAAGGCTTTAAAACTCGAATCCGGTAAGGCGTGTGTTGACTCGCCGGAAAGCACTCGGTGAAGATCACCGAAGAGGTCCCTCGCAAAATATGATTAGCTAAGTCCGGAGAGACCTGGATGCGCGCATGCCACACGATCCGGATACGCTGAGAAATATTTTGGGAAATAAGCTCAAGTAACGGGCCGTTGAGCCTGATAATTTAATGGCCTAAATACAATCCAAGTCAATACATAAAAATTCGCTATTCGTCACATTTAATTATAGTGACGCGAATGTATTTATATTATAGACGCAATGAATAGCGAATTTTAACGTATTGGCTTAGATTTTTATATTATTAAATTATTAAGCTCCACATCTCGTTATTCGAGTTCCCATTTTATAAGATCGACTCGCGGGAGCCTCGTGATTTCTGTTAATTTTCATTTTGGGAATATTGTTTGGGGGAGTATTCGTCTGTCGGAAACGTATTGTCAGTCTCGAACGTAGAACTCCTTGGCAAATGAAGTATCTGTTAAAACGACAAATAGCAATTCCGCTAATACACACGCACAAACACACACGATAAATACGCTTACGCACGAGACATATCCACGCGCGAAGCGACGTTGTAGCGGCAGGGAGGGTAAATGAGGCTCCGACTTGGAAGGGAATCGTATCGGATCTCCTCTCATTCTGTTTACTATCGAGCGAGAGAGTCAACGCACTCCGATTATTTCGCAGCGAGCGATTAAGGGCGGATTCACTTGGAATTCAAGAAACGTTTTCAATTTGAACATTAATCTTCGTAGAGAAACGTCGGTTCAGCGTTATATCGGAATCCCGGTTGTAGCTATCTTTCCTTAAGTATTTCGATCGAGTGGCTGGGCAAACCCAGTGGCCACGGTATACCTTTCCGGTTTCTATTCGCCCCGCTGATCTCGGGGAACATGTTGTTCGCGGGGTATACACGTATGTTGCATTCCTGGCACGATCGCCATAAACGCTCCGTGCACCGGGAATCCGGTGTACGACGCGCCATTAGTAAGCTAAGATATCGCGATCGGGCGAAACTTCTCAATTTCGGCTATCGGCATATAATATTGATAGAATTAAATCGCACGGTGGTAAATTGATCAGCGATCGATTTTAGCGCGAAATGAACGCACTTTCTTTACGACTATTCTACTCTCCGAAAGTCAATCAGTACTTCAATCTAAACTAATCACTACACTATAACTGCGATTTTCAGTGGTATACTTATAATTGTAAATCAGTGGCTATTCACTGTTTTCAGTGATAATCTACTGACTGACGTTCAGAGAGTAACGTCATTAGATACACCTCAGATAAAATTTTAATTATTTTCCTATATCTAGAGGAAAGTACCCTATTACGTTTCGCCATAAATTTATTGCCGTTGGAGTGAAATCTGTTTAGTGGAAAATTGATCGTTAGATCGTATAATCGTTGCGAAAACAGATTTGCCATTGAGTTTGGACGGTGAAAATCTACTATATCACATTAGAATTCTATCCCATAATAGAGGACTTTCCCCTACTTCTATTTCGTACGTAGATTCTTGCATCTGTATAAAAAGGCATCTTTTATTTTACTTTGTTGACAAACGCGAAGAAGAAGGAGAGGGAGGGAGGGAGGGAGAGAAGAGAGAAAATTCAGCCCGTATGTCGACACCTGTTTGTCGATCAGCAAGTTTAAAGTTACTAAAGGATACCACTGTGTGAAGAAGGAATTCGTCTACTCGCACGAGTGGTTCAAAGCGCGCTCTTTTCAAGCCGATGCGACAGAGGATTATAACTCGCCAAGAGAAGAAGGTAGTTGAGAATTCAGTAGAAAATGCGCTTTACGAGACATACATCGTTTCGATCCAAGTGTACGGCTATATGTGTACGTACTCCTTGAGAGCGTACTCAGCGCTTCATGCAACACCAGCGGTAATAAAGCGCGAAAACGTTTCTCCGCTGCTTCGTGGCGTTGTTTTAACGCGATGAAAACAGTCGGCGCACTTCCGCGCGAGGAAAAACGAACGTGTCTCTTTCAACACGTCCATTTCCCCGTCAGAACCTCTTGCCCTGCCCAAAAGAAGTTTCAGCAATGGAATTAAAAGGTTTACG